GAACGACAGGTCGGCACACCCGCTCATAGAAATGCAGAGTCTAACCATCCAATTCATTATACCTAGCGATTATACACATCAATAAAACATTTCTTAGTTCGGTTACAAATAAATAAGATATCTAATAGAAAGCCAAAAAGTTATTTATTTTATTGTATTCAAAATGTTTTTATTCTAATATTGTATTATAGACGGAACCAGTGTACACACTGGTTCCGTCAGTTACGAAGAACGAGAATTACAATGTTAACAGCTATTCCCAGTAAAAGGACGCTCATCTTGCTGTGGCTGTCAATAAGTTATTGTAGAAGTGGGCCAATGTGATATCACGGTATATTAGATATTCTAAATCTTAGAAATCTATCTTAACAACATTAGCATGTGTCCAAACGCTTACGAGGCAGTGTCAGCGCGACGCGGGCGCAATAACGTTCGCACCGCGTGGGAACTCGAGCAACCACTACTCGATATAAGTACTAACCATATTTTACGTCAGAATCCGACGCACTCTAGTTGCGCGTACGCAAGTAATCTCCGCCAGTAATGTCACGACTAGATTGTGCATCCTTGCGTAGCCACCGGTCTCCCAGTTGCCATAAATCAATGTGTAAACTGCAATCGACCTATATTGGCATTTATAACCACCTTACAGCTTACATCACCCAGTACATAGTACCGCTACGTTTACTACCCACCGAATTAATTATTCAAATAGATTTCGAGCATAATTAGCGGCGTAATTGAATTGCTGATATATTTCATCAATGCTGATTGCCTATTTAAATTAGTGTTAATTCGTGATATGCGAAACGTCAGACTCGTCTTTAATCAATGTGCATAGTTTTTATAAAAGTGTGACGCTGGTAAACGAGTACCCAGGCATGTTAGTATACAAGTGGAAATGGAGAATCTTCGGAACTTAGAATCCCACTCGCGGCCGGGCCCTTTAATTGCCTGAACCGCAATTAACCACGTGTCATTCGTGTCTATAGTAACGCCCGCCAACAGATCAACACACGCAACGTTAATTTCACTTTTGCTGGCGTCTGACTCGTTATAATAATCTAGCATAAAATTGCAACAGTATGAGAGATCAAAGGCTGTTGGTACGTAGCAATTGGTCATCCAGTCATCCTCTGTCCAAATGTCAGGGGTCAGCCGGCGGCGATGCGCGCTCTGGTATGCGGCCGCGCTGCAACCAGCTCCCATTTACGGCTGCCTAGCTAATACCGATTGATATGAAACAGAGCGACAATTATACAATCATAACAACATTCGTAATGTTGCCTGCGCCCCCTGTTAGTATTCATTTGTATGCATTAGTGACACATTGAAACTAGAGTTTAGCACAAGATTCCGAAAAGTGGCAAATGTTTTGTCAAGTCGAGTTTTTCTACCAAAAACTATAACAGATCAAAATTATGTTGAAATGATTCGACGCTACCTTCAACATACTCTTTGTTAAATTGATCGTCGAAATAAAGGAACACTTTGTTTTCAATGAAATTGTTAATAAAAATACAATATAATCAATTCCGACACACAATCATAACATCGTGCTGCATGTCGAACGTCGCCTTGAATAGCCGAGAATGACCAGCGGCACGTTCAGCTTTATTTCGAATCAATTCTATGTAAAACGTCCAATTAAAACCGTCACAACGTGGTCCGGGGTATCACAGGCCGCATCTGGCGGCCGCTCTCGACGGGCGGCGTTTGCTCGGTTGCCCCGCGAAATACCCGGATCATGCACTGGATCAGTCCCAGTTCTCTAACTATATCGTCACATCACCACTTCACAGTTAATTGTCCGCGTATTTTTGTTGTAAATACGACGCAATTTGTAGACATCGTTCGATAGTCCGCGGAGATAAAGTCGGCCATTGTAGTTGCGATATCGAGGCCATTTATTCGTGTTAATTAAAGATATCGAACTAGATCTACGATATCGATACGGTGCGGGCTATTTTATAAAACGACAATATTTTCGTCCATATTTAATACTTGCTCGCAAACTCATTACGTGAACAACGGACCTATTGTATAAATAGGTAGGTTAAGTAGTAAACAAGTAATGGGTAAAACATATTACGCCAGCATGTCCACTGTCTGTAATTATATATTCTTCAATTAATTTAAGAATGCTATTAATAGATATCGGTTCGTAAATCTGTAAGAAGAATTAATTACTAGCCTGAGATGGCATAGACGTAGAAATAATACAAATGGGTATAAAATGTAATGGGTATTCGCGCTAACGAACATTGCAATTTAAGATTTCTAGATAGTTATAAGAGGTAAAGTTTCTCCTGTGCTCTGCCTTATTAGTACCATCAATACCTAATAGAAATGTTATTATGAACTTGGTATGAATACCAACCACATTCCTGATTTTACCTTTTAGTAAGCAAAACTATATGTAACCTTAACAAACGGACTATTTAGGGCTCAAAAATATATATTTTTTATATTATGTTTAAAAATTCATTACGAAATTCAATTAAAACTACAATAATAAAATTGACCAAGAAAAAGAAAAATAAGTATATAAAATATAATAAAACGTTTGTGTGGCTGTTAATGTCTTAAGGTATCGGCGTGGCAGCGGTGGCGCAGGCGGCGGCGCGCGGCGTCCGTGGCGCAACCACGCTCGTTAACCCACATGCACCGCGCCGCTGCCACTGCTCAATACAAAGTCATCAAATTCACATCCTTGCCTGTCGATTATACCTCGTATTCACTAATTACTCAATTACTTGATTAAACAATTTTATTACTATTGTTACGCTAGATTTACGTCAACTTATAACCTCCAAAGCTAAATTACAACCACAATATACTATAGTTGCTGGGTACCTAACCAAGTGACATAAAACCATTTAGGTCAAGTAAAGTAGTCATATAATAACCTAAAGTGACAGAAGCTTACTCAGAAGGTACCTACTCGTTCAACAAAATACCTACTCTTAATTTAACCGCAGAGCAAAGAATAATTTCAGACGAAAAACCTCAGTTCGACGACAAAATGTGGTAAATTTTTTTAGCTCTTATTATTAAAATATGCAAACACATTATACCTCCAATGTTTCGCTATAACTATTTGTTGCAGCGTTGCGAACACAAACCCAAACCAATTGCAATAATCGGCGCTTATCAGTTAAGTTAATAGCTTACGAAGCTATTACAAGACCAGATTCTCAGAAAAACCACTGCGGCGACCTTACCGTACCGTCTGTAATGGCTGCCTGCAACACTGCCAACCAGAGACTGGGATTACCCAGAATACTGTACCTACGGCGTCCAATTTAACCCAATATTTTTACGTTTATGATAGATACTTATGACTCAAGACAAAGCCCATCGATAACGTTTCCTATAACCAATTTAAAGTTAATCCGCCGGTCGTTCCGAACGTTCCACGATTACGAAATAGGGTTTAAGTAATGCCAAAAGCACTATTTTTTAACAATGATAGTTGCACAACAATTTTGCATGTTAACTTAGTGTTTCGTTTTAAAATAATGACAGGCTATATACAATTTAGTACAGTTAAAATATACTTGTGAGGCAATGACGTAAAGTACTGATTGAATTTAGAATTTTACGAGCCACTCGCCATGTGTAATAAATCTATTGTTTTATTGATCATCTGCAAGCTAAACACACGACGCCGACCAACATCGACGAACCAAACTGACTGCACAAGAAAGTTGTCAATAACGTTAACTTCCTGAAAAATTTATCGTAGGAATAGCGTGCAATGAACACAATAATTCTAAACTTGATTAGGTATCGTTACAAAATACACCAACTTCAAAACTTCAACATCACAAATATTTTAACAAAAAATAACGTCATTGTTTTTAATTAAAGATTCGTTCCAGAATGTTTTATTGCTCACAAGTATTACCTACATTCCGTTTTTAAGTTAACAACAGTTATAATGCTCACCACACAAAACGTCACGATACACACGATATTTTTTCTTGACGCATTTTGGATTATTAAAAATGAATTTGTGCCAATATTAACATTATAATATAATTGCAATTACTTAGACACATATTGTAAATACCTACATGTAACTATGTTGAAAATTGTTGATATATGCATAAGTAAACATTTTAATTTAAATGATGAAATATAATATGTAATTAAATTAAAAACGTGAATATTTTTATGATATCATTTTTGTTGGTTGTTTATGATTTAATTTAATTTTTATCTCCAGTAAGACTGTGTGTAGATAAAGCACGATAGGTTGCCGAAGAATATAATAGTGTCTGTAAAGTATACAGCAAGTAAATAATATTTCGTCAAATATGAACGAGTTACCATTGTATCAGCTGTCAGATGAAACTTAATATTGGTTGTTTCGGTCCCTCGCGCTTGCTCCAATTCATCGTGTCGTTTGACAGACCTTTCTCATTTTACGACATGTATATCGAACTCGTACGAAAAGCATTAAAGAATTTATGCAAAGAAAAAAATCCTCTCTTTTACTCATTCACTTCATAATTTTATATTTTTACATTTAAAATTAAGTTATGCAAACAATTAAGCTTATGCAAATTAAAAAGATAATGTTAAGACTAAAAATAAAAATAGTAAAACTACTAGAGTCGTATACCGCACCACGGGTCTATGACTGCTTTCATTTAAATAAATTGTATGCCCCGTTTTATTATGTGGAGATTGAGCTGAAAGCAGACTCGCATCGAAAAACACTGCGCAGGCGGCAGCTGTGCGGCTCTACATAGTGCGCAGGCGCTACGTGATGCCTGATAGGCGCTACGCGTGACTTGCTCGCCCTGATTTTGTACAGGATCTTAAGACTCGTAGCGAGCTTATTAATTAAACATTCAGATACGGATATATTCTGCCTGTGACATGCGAAACCGACGCAATACGGTTTTGTTATTATAACTAATCCCACTAGTCGAGCTACGTACTGTTCCAGTTGAGTAATATTATTAATGGTGTCCTTTTTTCTTTTCCAGATTGACTACGCTTCTTGACTTCAAACCACAAAACATCATGGATATGGTCGATTGCTTTATCTCTGCCAAGAGCCTGAATTAAGTTCTCGATCATCAAGGATTAGGGTTGGGGTGAATAATGGGAAAAAGGAACGTACGGATCAAGTTCGCACACTCGATTGGTCCGCCGATTGACTCGAGCACGTTGGGCACGTCCGAGTAGCACCCCAGCCCGCGCCCCGCACTCTCGCACTCTCAGTTACCGACGCTCTAGCGACTGCCAATAAAGTACAAGTCATACCGGGTTATTCACTTATTTAAATTTAGATATATTTATTGTAGTACAAAGATAAACTGAACACAAACTTTACGAGCTTGATGTAGCAAAACTGACACGAGAACAAACCGAGTAGTCGTCCTCGGTTGTTAATGAAACGGTAGTCATGACGGCCACTGCCCCAGAACTGTCAAAGTCGGATTTCTTTGATTTCGTGACATCCAACGAGGTTACTGATGCCCAGTACAAACAACAGATGCGTTCTGTTAATGTGTTCATGGAATCACCTGACTCGAGGTCAAACCCACTGCTCTCAGAAGAGCCCAAGGAACAGAACAATAACAGTTTACTCAGCGTAAGTGGCACGCAGGTCGGCCCCAACAGCGGGATGGCCACAGCTACCACTTCCACTACACTGCAGAGTTTCGACTCTATTTGGAACGTGGACCGTGAGCGCGATCGCTTAGACAACACCATGTTGGAGGATCTCAACAAGTTTTACTGGAACCAGGACAACGACATTAATGGTACGCATCCCTGCGCGGATACGGCTATTTCTAATAAATTAATAAACAACACGGATGGACAAATTTATACATTGACTGTATTGAATCATGACATGACGGAGACCAGTTCGAACCGATACTGGGCTAAAGAGGAAGACGTGTCTATGTCAAGCCCTACAGACATAGAAACACATAATTCACTTGATCTCGAATCCATATTGAATATGAATGGCTTTCCTAATGACTTCAATCAAGATTTACCTAAAGTTGAGGGTTTTACTTACGAAGAGGGTGATTCAGAAAGCCAACATGCGGATTTGAGTACTAGTGATTTAGTGAAAGTAGAACCCTATAGTTATGAAGAAGGAGAATTCCAGAGCAGTGACAAGAAAGAAGAGTCGCATAGTTCATCGTTACTCGTTACGCCAGCCTTATTAGAAAGTCAAGTAGAATTTAATAACAATAACAATGATTGGAAAATTACTGATCAAAACACAGAATCAAATGAATCTTTGCTCAGGAGCGCGTTACAAGGAAAAGCCTTTATTAGATATAGTACTATTCAGAAAAATCCTGTGAAAGTCGAGGTTACCAATGACTTGAAAAGGGCTATTACGACAAATAACAACAAACCTGATGTTCCGTCAATGTATCAAGACAGCAAAGACGAACTCTTAATGCAAATATCGCCACAAAATCGGTTGAATATATCAATACTCTTGGAAGACCCTAACTCTGTCGTATCTAATGGAGAAAATCCTTCATCAACGCAGAGTGTAGACGACATTCTACTGTCGCGGCTCGATACTAACTACCCGGAAGACTACGAAAAGTTGAAAAGGATAGCAACGGAACTTGGAGAATCTATGCAACCGTTTTGTACCGTGGAACCTATTGACCCGACGCGAAGTGTATATAACATTCATCACGTCAACGGTGAACTAGTGACCATGATCCCAGCCGGAGAAGTCCAGCTAAACCAACACCTGCAAATAGTAACAGCTTCGCCAACCGTTACTAGCACAAAGCCGGGCAACAGAAGATACAAGAAACCACAGAACAAGAACCCAGCACCGACGACGCAAGCGCAGTCGGGTACAGCTATACAAGCGGCGACCTCTACGTCAAATGGAGTGAGAAAAGAGAGATCTCTCCACTACTGTTCCATTTGTTCCAAGGGGTTCAAGGACAAGTACTCAGTGAACGTGCATGTGCGGACGCACACGGGCGAGAAACCTTTCACGTGTTCTTTGTGTGGCAAGAGCTTCAGACAGAAAGCGCACCTTGCCAAGCACTACCAGACGCACATCGCACAGAAGAGCGCCGCCGCCAACGGCGCCGTCAAACCCAACAAGCAGAGGTAACGCGCGCATGCGCATGCGCCCGCGCCACCTTGCACTCCGCTCACACCCCATTGATAGTCAATTGAACTTTATCATGGTGATATAATAACAAATGTATTTTCTTTTAATCGATACTTAAAGGCTGAAAATATCACAGATGAATTTGGTAAGGTGCTAATAACGTAATAATTTATAGAGAAATAAGACAGTTACGAAAGAGAGATGTGAAGGTTCTCGGCCGATAATCTTATTTGTTAATTTGTATGTAATGCCGCCCGTTACCGTAGACAGTTTAGCTTTAGCTAAGAACAGATAGATACTTTTAAGTGTTTTACAAGATTATATAGAATTGACTTACATTCCATATTTATTAGTCATAAATACTAGTTTACGTACGTTAGAAGTCATATCTTTAAACAACATTTATGCATTTTGGTATAAGTAGGTAGATAGCAGACACTAACTATTAGTAATGTGGCCCATGTTATAGAATTTGTATAAATTGTGGATTATCGAGGACGAGTCGCGGGTAACATCAGATAGCAGTGAACAATGATGAGCACCGCTGGTGTTAGTGGTCGCCGCAGCGCCAGCGCCGCAGTAATTTCTCCCGCTATGCGACCGACTGAACTTTCTAAAATAAAAAGACTAAAAGAACAAGTATTCAGAACCCAGCATCTTTCACCGCTCAACTATCGCATCTCTTTGCTGTGCTCCTCTCGGTTTGAACAGTGATTTTATTTTTTCGAACGTGGCCACACTATTATTTTTCGACATTTCTATTTACTTAGTAAGTCTGCGATGTTTCCGATAACGCTCGGTACAAAAAGTTGAATACTCGCGCTATTATTATAATGTACTGTTCGTAAATTGGAACGTAATAGCTTGTTCGGGACGGGAGGGACCATTATTCGAGTGTCCATATCGGACGACGCGACGCAGTGAACGGTTTCTCATTCCCAATATTACATCTTTCGCCTCATACTGGGAGAGGCTTGATTGCCCTCAGATTGCTATAAATTATAAATACAAGTGGTGTTTCAATCGCGGTCTTTAAAATGTGCTCCCTTTCTCGTCTAACAAATTGGCCTTTCTTTGTTCCGTCTGTGTTTATAACACAGGGCCGCGCCCTGTTATTATTTATATACGTGCACAGCGCCACTGACCGGTACCTAGGTAGCTATAGCTATTCTTTTAGACATTGTTCGCCGTCGGACACCTATGTAAGCACTCATTTTATGTCTTCCCATTATTAGTTACCAGTTATTAGCCATGAAACAGTTATCTCGAGTATGAAAGTGCATGAAAGTACCGTGCATGCCTACCTTCCACTTAGTGAAAGTAATTACCTAATACGAGTATAGACATCATTCTAATCTGTTTCACTGACATTTTCAGATACCTTTCTAAGCAGTCAGGTGTTTTGTGGTCTCTTTGCGTCCTCCGGCCATTTGTAAACAATGCTATTGATATTCGTTTTTCATTTGATTATTACGTTATTTCATTTCAGTAACACCTACAGTGTACAGGTCGCCCATAGTTTTGTGAAAGCGCTTTCTTTTCCATCCAAAACAAAAAGGAAAAAGCAACAACCTCCCGTCATTTGTTTCTACGAGTGTAATTTGAAAAATACATTCTTACAATGGGAGGCAATGTGCTCAATTATCATTATTATCATCATCTGATTACCATTATAGTTCAGTATCATAGCGAAAATTAGCATAAATTGACTGGTACCGAGACGTGGAATGATATAATCGACATTAGTGAAGTCATTGCCTAAATAAAGCCTATTTGTATTTTGTTCTATTTTTATTCGTACTTGTAAATGTGTTTCATAGTCGGAATTTCCGATAGGTGTGTTATCAAACCTAATAATTTTATAAACATGACACGAGATTTAAAATTATTCTAGTATTGAGAGTACCTTGGTTGCTGATCGGTGTAACAAAACCAATAAATACGTTAATAGGCTATATCATGCAGTGTCTATTACAATAGTTCAATTATGTACCGTGATTGAAATTAAACCACCGGAATTAAGGTCAAGTTATAATATTTCGGCCTCCGCACGTCAGGCGCGCGGTATCACACACAATGTCATTGCGGCACGACCTAGTCATTTTTTCCATTAAACTATTCCATTAGGCGTCTTTTGAAGCCAATTTAGCTCGACCTGAACTGTTCTCAGGCTAATTTGTGAACTGAAAGTGTACAAGGTAGATCATAATTATAGGTTTTCCCTGTGTAAAACCTTAGCTGATTCTACACTAATTAAAGTAATAAAGTGTCTCTGTCGGTTGGTCCTCCGTCCCAAATAACAAGTTATATTAAATACTAAAATATCTACCTACGTGTATACCGATTTGTTAATTTTAGATACCACTCTAGTAGCTTTGATACTGGCAACTGTAATTATGTTTACACTAACCCGGATACTACAAAATCAAATAGACCTTTTAAATGAACTAGCAGTTTCTGAAACCGTGTTATTAAATAGGAAAACATTAATAAAACAATGTTGTAAATCAACAAATTAATTAAACTCCACAGTTTTATTAAAAGATTTATAGATGCAGATATCAAATCAATGTACCTATTTATGTTTTAAAACGTAATTTGTTCGTTAGATATACAGTATTTCTAAGAATTCGTTTGTATTCAAACATCTCTTCAGCGTTGTTTTGGTACTGCAGTAATTTTTTTCAGTTACGAGTGTATTACAAGTTGCCGATGTAAATATGCATCTTGCCAGTAGCAATACTATGAACAAAGAATGTTCAGTATTTAGCTATTTGATAACGAACACTGCCCCTTGACGCTCCTGTATGATTGTGACACTGTCGATGTGAACGTAAGTGGAAGTCTCGCTAGTGTTGCTATACTCCTGAGTCTCAATCTCGATCCCTTTAAGTATTTCGGTTTAATTTAAGATAACTTTATATGGACGCTTTATAAGTAGTTAATATTACTATTCAAAGGAGAAACTACATAAGTACAAGAAAGCTTTCATTATCTGTGTACATTGGAATTGTATTAGGCATGCGCTCGCGCCGCGGCACATCTAAATTACTTTTCAGACTGAACATTGTACCTACACCCTCTCCTCGGCCCGTACGTACATGAAGCTTTCTACTGAGATTGTCGTGAATATGTTTGAAGTATAGTTGTAAAGCCAGAGGAAACTCTTTAACAATACTCATTATCTTGTAAATATGTAACATGAATGAATTTTATATTAAAGTTGACTTTGAAAGTAAATTTTATACTCTACCACTTGTATCTCATTAGATGGTATTTGAATTACTAGCGAATTTATAGTTTTAATAAGTACCTAAATAAGAAACATTGAGAGATTTACCAGATTACTTTAAGATACTATGGCTACCTTCATAAATTATGTGAGTGCATAAATGGTTGTTAATATATTCATGTAATATATTAAATTATGTTGGTTTTTGAGTACATTATTTTGAAAAGGTTTATTATTGAAAAGGATAATATTGATTGATTTTTATTGCATTTGTTCCTGAGTTGATTATTAGATTTTATTGATAATTATGTCTCGTTTATAAGGTTCTATGAGTAATTATTGCATGGATAATTTAATTTTATATAGTATCGGAGTTGTTATAAGGGAGACGTGGATGACTCGCTACACTCGATGATTTCTAATGTGGAATACATTGTAAATACTGTTTATTTATTTGAAGTCGCTCCTCGGCTGACGAGGGCAGCGCTGTCGGCTCTTATTTCATATCAATTAACATTATATTAATTCACCCTTTCTACCTACTTTACTTAATCATAAACCTAGATGTACAACTCATTGGACTTCTTACATTTTTGTCATTAAGTTAACTTGAGTCGAGTAAAGGTTTGTCTACGTCGCCCTTAAGCTGAGCCGTCCTGTACAATACTTCATTATTTATTTTTAGAATTATATTTAAGGTGAAGAAAATATGAAAACAAAAACATAATTGTATTTTGATTAACCGGAGCTGTGATTTTTTGCTTATCTGTATATCTATTAGACAGTGCGGGTAGCTTAACAGCTGACCGGGCACTGGTTCAATCACTGAGGTCTTCCGAGCGCTACGCCAGCCGAACCATGCTATTGCGCCGCCACTAAACCTGTTGCAATACGAATACATTTTAATACATATAACGAGATCATAAAAGCATACATACATATAATTATATTGATCATTACAAATATTGATAAAATTACCACATTATACTTTGTATTGGGTTTTCCCTCCATCCGTCGAACTGACAATTTGCAAGACAAGTCACGCTTTCGTGTTTCACATATTAGCAGTGAACTTCCTAGAAGTTGAAATCCAGTATTGAACTTAGAATGTAAAACCGGAATGACTGTAGTCGAATGGAATACCTTAATGAACATTGACATCTGAAAAGTTTTTTATAAATGGTTTAGTGAGGCGCGCAGTAGCATCGGTCGCGGACGCTAGTGCCAGACATAATGTCAGATTAGATCTGGTCACGTTAAATCAGTATCACACCGTAAGGTACGTGTAATATAATAAATGTAGCTACCATAATTTTTTACAACATTTACAGTTTTATAATGAATTTCTTATATTTTTACTTTCCTATGTTAGTTTGCTAATAAAATGTTTTTTTTATATAACACGGACTTTTTTATCCCTCATCCCCACAATTCTGACAAACATGTATAATGCACTGAACATACTTGTGAAGTATGAGCTGGCAACCGTCTCAATGGACTGATCGTAAGTCAATAGGTACTTACAATGAAACAAGAGACATACTCAAGCAGATCAGCCACATGTGAACTTTTATTAGCCACGTGAAGCGATTGCGTTACATTTTAAAAAGTAACACATAAACCGTCTATTGAAAGAAGCAGTTATACCTGCGTACGTGCTATATATGTATATTTAATTGCAAACTGTGAGCGTTATCTTGGAAATGTTTAATGATGACATTAAAGGAACCATTACAGGGTAAATATGTAGAACCAGGATTATGGTGAAGAAATCAACATGTTGAAGACGACACTGCTTTAGCTACATCCATTGTCTAAGCTCACTTTTATGACGTATATTCATAAATATACATTATATAGGTACTAGTGAATGCAGATGCTGTACATGAACTAGTCAGCTAGTGCAGCCGAGCATTACTAAAGTAAAAGCAAATAAAACATATTATGTAGCTAGTTTATCAAGTTACAAGTTTTATCGAAAATATTTTTAATGGATTTTTCAAACGACGCTTAGACGGTAAGACGGTTTGCCAACCTCAAGAATTGTAAAAAGATGTAGAATGGTATAAAGGAAAGCGTACTTATTTGGTAAGTCATCATCAGCCTATAAGTGCCCACTGCTGAGCAAAGGCCTCTTCTCATACGGAGAAGGTTAGAATAATATAATTATAAGTCCAGGTTTCCTCACGATGTTTACCTTCACCGTATGTCAGTGGTGTTTAAATAATCATAGAAAGTACATATAACTCGGAAAAAGTCACATTGGTACTTGCCAGGTTTCGAACCCACACCCTCATCCATGAGAAAAGGGCTCCTTAACCTCCGGGCCACCACGACATATTTGGTAAGTAACAACAGAAGACAACTAGACACTGATTATTTCCTCTCTTCTCCCTTAGTTCAAGAAGTAAGTAAACATACTCAACATTTATTGACATGATCATCAAGGCAAACCCCTAACATAATATGACGTCAAACAAACAGAAAGAAGCTTATTACCTACAGCCTTTTACAAAAGATAGCGATTATTTTTTTATTTTTTTTATGTAATTGTTCGGCAAACGACCAGACGGATTACCCGATGGTAAGCAATCAGCGCCGCCCATTGACACCCGCAACGGAGGATTTACGAGTGCGTTGCCGACCTTTTAGGGATTAGGGATTAGGAGATTTAGGGATTGAGGAGGGATTGGGGGCGGGGAAGGATTGGGCCTCCGGTAACCTCACTCACACGGCGAAACACAACGCTGTGGTTGTTTCACGCCGGTCTTCTGTGAGGCCGTGGTATCACTCCGGTCGAGCCGACCAATTCGTGCCAAAGCATGGCGCTCCCACACTTAGCATGGCTCTCCCACACTTTTATTTACCTTTAACAATACTGATAAAATTTCAATTTTTTTTATCTCCCAAGTTGGCCCAGTTGGTGCAGTGGCTGGGCGAGTGGGTGATGTGTGACGTGTGGCGGGTTCGATTCCTGTACGAAACAACATCTTATGTGATTCACAAATGTTTCGTGTTCGTTCTGGGTGGCTTGTGTATGTGAATTCTATGTTTGTAAACGCAACCACGACACAGGAGAAAACCCTTGTGAGAGGCAAAGTTTGTTATTGAAAAAAAAACGTTAATTATTCACATCCTATCGAATCTAGACTTCATATTCTGAAGTTGCAAATTACGCTATTTGACTAACAAGACTCAATGAATCCAAAACTCAGTACTTTCCAGTCACCAGGAAAACAAGTTGACACGCTATTTTTATATTTAAGTGTGTCTCTGAAAAAGGTTTTTTTCCGGTAAATTTATTTAACTGAAGTTAAAAACAGAACAAAAACGCTGTGATTTATGTATGCCTGGAATTTGTACGACAGAGGACAGTGCTGTTTACCTACGGAGAAATATATTAATGTGCATTCAGATACTCACTGTACGCAATTTTTTACATCGGCACTAAACAGTGCTTCACAATTCATTTGGTATTTATATATTTATTAAAACAATGTTCCCACCAATAAAATTAATCAGATCAATTGAACATTAATACATTTTTAGCACCAAGATAAACAAAAAGATAATATAAAAATTTGAATACACATCACAATCTGAAGACAAAACAAATACGAAGTAACTTAAATTAGTTTCTGGCAGTGAATTAGAAAAAGTCTTAAAAATAATGAATTTAGAACATTGACTGAAGTACAACAAACACATTTCAAAAAAATATATAAGTATCAAATTGTAAAAGAATTTTGGTTAATTTTTTAAAATTAGACTTCTAAAACTGTTGAATGCAAGGAATCTGTCATTTTTGATAGCTCTGTCAGTTGTTTGTGGAAAAACATAGACAATGACCCACATTCAGTGTTAATTGTAAACGGTTTGGGGCCTCGCCATTGTGATAACGTTAAGATGAGTTAACAAAAGGCATATATAAATAGTTGTCGGGCAGTCGGCAGTCGGCGGGCATTGTTTCCCGCGGTTCCGGCGCACACGCACCGACCTAAGGCGGTAATTAGTTCTATTGTGGACGGACTGATGCTATCGACGCCACAAATACTTCCGATGGATTTACGTACCTGCTTTCCACTCATTGTTTACTTATGTGCTCTTTATTAATCGTCCGTCCCGCCGCCGACGACCAGCACAAAGAACATCGCGCCCAATTAATTTCAAACCAAGCATCTCATTGTGTACACGATGTTAAACAACAAACAACTCTTAATAAGCCATCACAATACAAATGCAACATTAAAATGCAAGAAAAGGTGAAGAAATAATTTTAGATTAGTCACATAGATATCCCTCACACATATATAGAAAATGCGTGCAATAAAAATGGCAAAGAACTGGATCGGTATCAATAGCAACAGGGAAAAGCGATACATAAAGGTAGACAACAATCCTTATACAGTAAACAGAGCGGTCGTACGAATTCAAAATAACTAAGTTATGAGCTCAAGAAAGCGGACTGCAAAACGGAAGTATAGCGGATGACCTTCCTTCAGATAAACACAGGTATCTGTTGACGCGCGCTGCGACCACTAATAAAAAAACAAGACACATGTAAAGCCCAGCATGTACGACGAGCCAGTATGATATGTTATCGGATGAAATGAAAATATACAAATGCCGTAGCATACTCAATGTAAACAGAATTGTGAATATTGTGAGCACTTCAACTTTCTCCGTGTGATGGGCCGTCAATCATCATAAATTAGAGACGATTTTCCTGTTATCACTTAGATATAACTTTACGCTTAAATTCAAATAGCCTCAAAATAAAATTTTAAAGTTTTGATTGCATTATCATGGAAATACGCGTTGTATCTTTTTTTATTTGACATGATCATTTAACGGTTTGTTGATGAATAAAGAGTATGACGTAGGAGTCTATTTATATTTTAGCTTTACGTGGCCAATACCTACACGTTGGTGAATCAACAAGAAAAAAATACTATAATGTATTGCCGACATTGACACTGATGCATAGCCGTGGAAGTTCACTGATAAAAGTCATTAAATTGAGTCGTTAAGTCGTCGCTTCAATTCCAATGCATTTCAACGTCAATGTCAATATTATGATTTGACGCTCTTTCTAGAGTTTACTAAAAAGGATACATTCAATTTTGTCAATCAATCGTTAACATAATTTGATGGAGAAAATTTACGATTTCTCTAATTCTGATAAACTGTGATCTAGGTAAAGTAGCTAGTTGTTGATTGAGATTAAAATCTTTAGATACTTGGCAAAATTTCCAAAATATGTTCAATATGAATGGGTGATGTTCATAGGACTTCTTTTAAATGATAAATGATAGGCCGAGTGAAAACAACGGACGAAGTATGCAACGTAACCAGACGTCATTAGTTGGCGCGCTTGCAGGAAATCGTACATTATGAGTGAAAACTGAGCATTCTGCATTTTCAACTGAACGGTGAGGATACTCACATAAACAGTAAGTAGTAATAGATGAGTAATGGTCAATATTTTCTCAGCGCCAGAGTAATGCACTGTCGGCGGCGGCACGGTATCGTTCGGGTGGGTACTATTGTCCGTAATCACAGCACATCTCTTGCGCACCCCACTATTAGGGAACAATGTTAGACGTTCACAAAGGTCTCAATCAGCCAACCTATGTAACTACTTGTTGCTTGTTTATCGATTTGTATAAATCTACAGATTTTTTACAAACATAAAATGTGAGTGTGATGATGTGTTATGAAATTGTGTCAAATAAAAAGTACGACCGATAACATACATTTGATAATGTGGTTCTCTCTAAAGTTTGAACTTAATATAAAATATATAAGTAGGATTATGTTTGTCGAATGAGATTCACCAGTTCGTTACGGAGTAGCGGTTCATAAACATTTTTACCTCGTGTTGTGTTGGCGTAGAAACTAACGATCTCTAATTTCGTGTTTAATCCGTCTGTTACCCACATATCAGGCGTGTCAGACATCTGTAAGTAGGTAGTTACATTTGACTTGATCTCACACGTCATCTTCGTCTTCAATCAAAAGGGTCGACCTTTTCACAGCGATTAGAAAACAGCTATTTAGCTGATTTGTAAAAAATCAACTACCAAAATGAAGCTTTCATTAACCGCTCTAACTTTCTACTATAGATCTTATACGGAAGTTACATGGAGCAGAGATAAGTGGACAGTGTGCGATAACATCGGCTCGATGTACACTCCATAACAACGCTAATTTATTGTCGTTTCAAGAGACTCACGAACATTGAGCTTAAGTACTTGACAATCTAATGAAATAGCTAATTTAAAACTGAAACACATTAGTACAAACATAGTGAACTGAAACTTACAGAACTGACGTTATTGAAGTGAACATTTCACGTCGTTTCCGTCAATTTGTTCGACTGAACAATAACAGATTGACGTTTAATTAAGTTTACTGCTGATTGTGTCACGAGTCTGACATCTGAAATGGAAATGTATCGGAGCATTAACTGTTTCTCGTAGTCCTTACATTAAATTGTTGGTTAAATTTAGTAATTGAATAAGTCTTCAAGTTATTAGGAACCTTCTAATCAGATGCGTGTTGTATCAATTTAAACTTCCTAAATTCCTAATACGATGTAAAATATTTAATTTAGGTGGTACCGCGACTACCGTGCATCTATCGCAGTTGCTTACTGGGCACGGATATTTTGGAAGGTTTTTGGACCTATTGGATCCACGGGATTACTAGGACTACCAGGAGGACTTTATGGATCATAGGGTGGCGCTGTGCCCTGGTTTAACTACGCCTTTTGCTCAGGGACCTCTCGCGTCCAGCTTTGGTCGAAGTCGTGGTAGACGAATTGGAAAGCCGTCCTTCTGCAATACAGTAATGCTCGTAAAGAAGAAGGACCGCGTGCGGGAACTATCCTTCTCACTGACCAGTCACCGAAGGAGACAAACCGGCCTAGGGAATCGCGGGGTGATTTCCGGCTGCCGTAAGCCCTGGCCTGGACCTAGTAGTTTTTGTAAATATTAGTGTCCTGTAACCTATTTCAATTCAATAAGACTAGTAGTAGTATTAATGTTCTAGTGTCAGCTTAGAATTGGACTGGTAGAAGTAGGTACTGGTGTCATGCTCAATCAAAGGTCTCATTGGCGGTGGCACGGTCACTGGATCGCTCGATTATCTACAATATACTTGAATTGGGTGGTACTGCTCTATGTGTCATGTTCGTGAACGAGTGCCGTCAAAAGAGACTGGTCAGCTTTACTGTCTAAACATATTGTTCCTCATCTTATTTTCTTTTGGATTCTTTGGCTATATATTAGTGTTATACTGTTTTCACATTGATGATGTAATAAAGATTTGAACTGAGAAAATAATAAGAGGATCCATAGGAATCTACAATTTGAAACAAATACCTTCACCAGAGGACAGAGCAGACCGGCCAAGAGGTAGCATATGTGTCAGTTATTAAAGACTACAATTTATCTCTGTGCCATACCTTATTCAGCCCAGTCAAGCAGTTTTTAAGAATAGGTAACAAAAAAATCACGCAAAAATTATTAGTAGGATGTAACTTCAACATTAGTAATCTTAACCAAAAGTGCTTTGACTTGTGTACAAATATTTACTTGTGCATTATCATTTTGTTTATACACGTACAAGAGGAAAATGCACACGAATAGCAGTTACACTCAACTCGACTTTTATGAGTTTTGTGAAGAATTATACGATAAACACAGTAGCAGGTGACGACATTATCAAAAATAAACCTAATGTGGTATTCTAATACTTTATATTCCTCACACGAAGAACGCGACTGAGCTAACAAAGGAGTTGCTTCTTTTATGCTAAATTGCCGTCTTTCAGCAAAGCTTTATCCTGATGCAAAAGAACATTTTTTATGCGAAATATTTAGAACAAATTAGCCATTCACAGTCCGACTATATTTAAATTTACATACGTTGAATCATTAATCATTCTATTTAACCAAAGTGTCTTGTTAAGCTTGCATAGTTGTACATGTGTGCGAAATGTGTACAGCATTTTTATTGTCATTTTAGCCATTACAATTACAATGAAATGTATCAGGAAGTAATTAGCTGTCGAATATGGTTAATTGCCAATCAATTTACAATCATTGTTCTTACTTAATAGGCATACTTCGCATATTTTTTCGAAGATCCGATACATCCTTTGCGTAGGACTTCAACCGACCGTATAAGTAAGTAGTTTACTGCCATGATTAAAGCAACAAAAAAAAAACAATTTTTGCTAAATTTATTGAAAACTAGCATCCGCCAGCGGCTTCGCCCGCGTGCTGTGTTGATAAAAAGCAGCCTATATACTAATAGAACAAAATCGAAGTATGCAAAAATTGTGTTATTAATCGTTGAAAATTACGCTCTTATCATGAGTAGCGTGCGCGTCCCGTTGTGACTTGAAACTAGCAGAGCTTTTCTCTGTTTATTAACCTGAGCAGGTAAGTTATTATTTTCGATAAACTCAAAAACTTAATTCAATGCTTTTGTTTCTTCACTTCATATCTACCTATATTACCATTTGGTTTCATTAACCAATTTCAATTGATTTCGTTATATTTTCTTCTTTTAAATATATTAACCAGATTTCATTTTTGATGGTGAAAATTGTCAAATAACTTCTCCCGCCCTAATCACATTACTTACTTACTGGTTTTAGAAAATATTATAGAGAATACTTCTAATCTTTATACCTATATACTTAGTCGGGTCATAAGTTCTGTCAAAACCTTATATTTTTAATTTTCGATTACTGGCCAGAAATTCTTCGACTTATTTTAAAAATAGAACTTTCGCGCTTGTAGAAAATAAAAAAGAAATTATTTTTTATTCATTTTTAAATATGGAGTGGTCGAATAAAGAAGACAGAATCGCGGTTATCGCGTTGCACCGCTGTGGTTACGCGCCAAAAGACATTTTCAATATTCTTCAAAATTTGAAAATAACGTTACGGTTTGTTTATCGTACTATCAAACGATACACCGAAGAGTCAAGCTTCGAAGATCGTAAGAGAAGCGGCCGACCTCGCACAGTTCGGACACATAAGGTCATCAAAGCAGTGAAGGCGCGAATCGAACGAAATCCCGTACGTAAACAAAAAATCCTAGCTCTGCAGATGGGGCTAAGCAGAACCACTGTTAAAAGAGTACTAAATGAAGACCTGGGACTACGAGCTTATCGTAAAAAGACAGGACATTTTTTGAACGAGCGTTTAAAAAAAATTAGGCTAGACAGATCCCGCGCTTTGCTACGACGGTACGCGGGAAAAAAATACCGCGAAATTCTTTTTTCGGATGAAAAAATTTTTACTATTGAAGAAAGTTTTAACAAACAAAATGATAAGGTGTATGCCCACAGCAGTGAAGAAGCAAGCGCGCGTATTGCGAGGGTCCAGCGTGGGCATTACCCTTCCTCATTCATGGTTTGGCTTGGAGTCTCATATTCAGGCGTAACTGAGGTGTTTTTCTGTGAAAAAGGTGTGAGAACTAGTGCCGAAGTTTATCAAAATACTGTCCTAACAAACATAGTGGAACCTCTTTCTCAGACAATGTTCAGGAACAGGCATTGGATATTCCAACAGGACTCTGCACCGGCTCATAAGGCACGAAGTACGCAAGACTGGTTGATCGCTCGTGGAATTGACTTCATCCGGCATGAAGACTGGCCCTCTTCTAGTCCAGATTTAAACCCACTGGACTACAAGATATGGCAATATTTGGAGGAAAAAGTCTGTGCTAAACCTCACCCGAATTTGGAGTCTCTCCGAGCATCTCTGGTTAAAGCAGCGGCAGACATAGATATGAATGTGGTGCGTGCAGCGATCGATGACTGGCCGCGTAGATTAAGGGCATGTGTTCAAAATGGGGGAGGGCATTTCGAATAATGTAAATAAAATTATATTGTACATTTAATGACCTTTCATTTCATATATAATTTTTAAATAATTGTCAAAAGGCGTATAAGTTATTACATCAAAAGTTTGTGACAGAACTTATGACCCGACTAAGTATATAATTCTGCTGTACTTACGTGTGTATGTCATTGAACTCCTCCTAAACGGCTTGCCCGATTTAAATATTTTTTCTGTCTTTGAGTGGCGCCCTGGATGGTTTACATTCACAAAACAGCCCGGCAGATGGCGCCAAACAATTTCGGTGAAATTTGATATGTGGAGGTTTTCGGTAAGGGTAAGTACGCCAGTGTATCAGACATGGTTTAAAAATTTAACTCCACGTTTTTTGCAACTTAATTAAAGTTTGCATTATTTAGATACTCTTATTCTCTTGTCCAAAATTAGATTCGGCTCATGACTTTAAAGTTCAAAGTGTACGAAATTACAAGTAACTAGCTACCCGCCCCGACTTCGCACGGTTGCAACCGTGCTTATACTAAACTCCATTATTTTACGTGTACTTCCTCTTCAATCACTCTTATCTATTATAGTATCGCATCAAAATCAGTTGCGAAGTGTTAAAGATTTAAGATACTTAGCTACTTAGGGTATAGGGACAGAGAAAGCGACTTTGTTTCATACTATGTTGTGATAGTGACAGTTTTAAAGAATTTTCTCTCCATTATTTTGTTAAAAGTTATAAGACTAGGAATCTATATGTCGGCGATTACGATAATTTAGCGATACTAGTACATTTAATGAGTTCTTAATACCAGGTAGAACGCCGTGAAGTGGTCTATGGATGACGAGTCACGTGACCGGAATCGTTTGAAGGGGCGACGGTGACGTTTTGGAATTTGGTCGAACCTGGTCGAACATTCTGTGGAGAAGTCTTTGGTAATTCTGAAAGCAGTTCTGACCCCCGAAACGGGACCACTGGTTAACTCGGCTTAAATTATAATCAGTTCCTGTATACCAAAGACTATAACAAATTAATTAACTAACTTACTACTAAGAATAAAAAGGGATTGTGACGTATAGTTGTCGTTTTGAAAAGTCGACGCCATGAACCATCTACCAGAAAACCTTACTGATAGCGGCTGTGCCGCTAACGTATCACATTCTCCATCATATTTATATTTAAATGAATCGTAAAATATGTTGTTTAGCACAAAACGACGCCTGGACTAATTTTGCCAATTCTTTTTTGCTGTATTGTCAGAAGAAGGTTTTTATGAAAGATTTTTTTTTTAAAGTAGAGGGTGATCTGGGAAATAGGGACCCTTTTGTCGTAAGCGAGATAGTTAGTTATAGACCCGAGCGAATAGGGAAGGGACGATAGTAATTAAATAAAAAAGATATCTGTTGGGGTATGTCATGCAGACATAGTCAGTTTAATAAACTTAATCACAAATATTCCGCTAAAGTTACCTTAATAAAAAAAACTATAAAAACATAAAGCTACGTCTTAATTCACAAACAGACCTATGTAATTTCAATGAAACAATTTAACAATAGTATTGAAGATCTCTTGCATTTGAATGTCTTAGAGTAAAATAAATAAATATAAAACTATTCTAGATTAACTGGTGCTTAAAAATAGGTAGGTAGATATAGGATAGACAGACACGTAGTTGAGTTTTTTATTCTAGCTTTGATATCACATAGTACAAAAATATTTTACATAAATGTTTATTTATTACTATTGATCACTTCATAACATCGTGATTCTTAAAATGAAAAGATTATGAATAGTATATACCTAGCCCACAATGTATTTCTACAATTGCTTTCATTTGTTTTATAGGCGAATAAAATCATTTTACCTACATCTAATGAAAATGATTTTCATAACTTACTAAATATAACTTGGTTGTTGATTACGAATAGTCACTGTTTAAAACTTTAAATTTGTAGTGATTATTAGCAAATAATCTCATGCTCTCTCTCATCATCATTTGCTTTCGATTATTTATAAGTTGTCATGTAATTCACTCTTTAATTTCAAAGGGCCTAGTGCGAGTTTTCTTTATTTTATCGCGGTCGAGACGTTTATTACGTATGGCGTCCCAATTGGTCGGCTTCGAGTTAACCAACCAATCAGAGAGCTTAACGCGGATACTTTTCAATCGCGTAAACGTATAGAAAACTCGTACTAAGTACTCAAAAAAGTAAGTAGATGTGTTTTAATGTATTAATACATAACTCAAATTGAAAAACCCCTAGTTAGTGCATACTGCTTACGTAAGTAAGTACAAACAGATCTGAAATTCAAACAATAGCTTATAAGTGGCGAAAAATTTAAAATTTTCCAGAATTATACTTGTTCAGTTCTTTTGGTTTATTTTTTGGGGTCTCTGTAGACGCCCATGAAGAGGATGGAGTTGGTGGGACGTTCGTAGATAAGGTACACGAAGGGGAAGTTGGCGACGAACCGGGTTGGCTCCGCGGGCCTGGATGACCGGAATCCGAAGATTGCTGTTGCTGCAGCTGCTACGGTACCTGCAAAATTACAATTTATTATAGACCCTTAAAAACGTCTATAACAATAAAATATAGGTAAATGCAGCAAAAAATCCTTTAATACTATTCTATCAATTTGTTTATAACCATCTGAAATTAAGACGGTGAGCTAACTGAGTACTTTGTAATTTGCTACTACCATTGGCGTCTTCCAAATCTCATTGCTATATGTCTATGCAAGTATTACGATGAACGCCCAGCTAATAGGCACCGAACATTAAAACACGAAAAAACGTGTAGATACATTGTTTTCCTTGTAATCTTCAAATAGTGAAAGTTCAGAATGATTCAGAAACATGAGAGCGGAATATAAAGATCATGATGATGCTGACTTACAACTTGTACCTAATTTGACAATGACTTGCAGAATGTATATGTACGTGAGCCTTGAGGACTAATTGATTTGCGGTTAGGTTACGTACCTTCTTCGTCAGTTTGTATCTTCGCCTTATGAACGGCATCGTCAAAGAGAATGCCCGGCTGTTCCGACAACGTCGTGAAGTCGGCTGTTACATTGAACAAGTCACCGACTCCTAATGTTTCCAACACCTGAAATAAATATCATAAATAAGTTGTGTTGTTATGTGGACTTCATATAAATATCTAGTATACGCACGAATACAACTGAAGAAAATTAATTGCATATTTATAAAAAGGGAAATGCCGCTTTCAGCTTCTATATATTGTCAGGCAGCAGGCATAAAAGACACTGCACAACTGCGAAAAGCTCAGTCACGATACACCACTTAAAAATTTACCACTGTGTTTTATCTGATTACTGAAAAAAATAACTATGTATTAATTTGTTCATGCAAGTAGGCCCTAAAACAGCACTTATACATGTCAAAATTATATATAAAAAACTAGATGACGCCGGTAATGTCAAACTAATATACTACTTTACCATATGAAATATACGACCAACCAATATTTATTATATTAGGTAGTACTAAGTCAGTTTATTAGTTACGATTAATAAATGGTCATCATACTCACATCTCTTAGGGACAGGCTCTTTTCGACGGTGAACTTGGGTATTTCAACAATGACCTCACGACCCATGTAACCTTCTTCGACAACAGCGGCCAGGCGCTCCGGGGTCAGGTTCGCGATAATGTTGGTGACACCTACGGACAAAGTTACATTGAGCAATAAGTAATTACTAATAAGTATTATTTGTAAAGTCACTGTGAGGCTATTGTAACTGCACAAGTAGTTACGAAAGTTTACGATAACGTAAGTACCTTTAATTTTTATACACTGCAGAGCTTTTTATAAGAATTGTCTCTTACATACGCAACAAGACCTAAATTTACTTTGAAAATAGCGAAAAGTACACCCTACAGGCGTCCAGGTGTCGACGTAAGGGAACACCTTAGCGTGCCCTTGAATTTGTCGCCTCCATCGCCCGCTACCCCACCCCTACATCTTAGCTTAACTCTCTTTCGGCTTTAACTCAAACAGAGCACTGTGTGCGCCTTTGAGAAATTATAAGAATAATGATGTGATGACACGTATATGTATATAATTTTGTTCAATATGTAAGTACCTTACATATGTATATTAAGCTGTGACTAAATAAAAACCAAAATTAAAGAATGCAAAGGTCTTAGAAAATTCTAACTTCCGTAATTACCAAAAATGTTATTATCTACCAAAATAAATGAATTTTCATTAATGGCGACTAGTCACAGTTCACAATAATAGCCACACAGCAAATTATGATTGATGGAACTAAAGTACCGACAGGTCAAATAAAGCAAGAAATAATCCATGAGATTTAAATTGGAATGTACCGTTACCCACCGAGTGAACTAGAAACCACGGTTAACAGTAAGTACCATCATTCATATCAGATTAAGCACTTAGATCTGTATCCGACGTAAACGAAGTTGTGATAATATCGCAAGTGTTTGTTACTAGTTGTGGTAAGAGCTTGCAAAAAAGGAAGATCTCAATTCTATTGCATTTTTTTTTGTTATTATCGTACGCCTTTGACTTTGGGTAACTTAGCTCTTACTAGACGCGCATTATTAGAAATGTTTTTGAGCTGTTGTAATAAAACAATGAAGGTTGGATAGAAGCATTTGTGTTTCATGATCTGTACTAGTTAAATAAAGATTTTTAGAACTATCGACATCTTAAAGACAGGCTTTCTCAAAGTAATAACAAAATGAACTAACCGTGCCACTTAAAAAGTACCTACTTAACAAAATTTATAATGTAGTACTTATGAACTTTTGATGGAGCATATTTTTTGTTTCTGTGCTTATATGTATTTATTGATGGTTGATATTTTGTTACTGAGTAAGATGGACTTGAAAATCAACCACAACTTATCTGCAAACTAAACTACAGATGTAGTTTTAGTTGGTGGTTGGAGGATTCCAAACATAATCTTTGCCTTCCCATCCTATCGCTCAAAAAATATTTAATATGAGATGACATGAATTTTTAAATTTTGGCCGTGTATTGTTGTGTATTGCTAAACAACATTGTAGAAATTTTTAATTTGACGGATAATAAACAACATTTTAATTTGAATGATGACTAAGAATGAGACCTCATCATCATCAGCCTGATTTCGTCTATTGCTGGACATAGGCCTCCCCTGCCATCCACCCTGCGGATATGGTCAATCCATCTAGTTGGAGGGCGCCCTACACTACCGTTAGCCTAGACGTGGTCTCCACTTTAGAACACGTCCCCTATGTGTCTACCCCAACGGTCATCGGTTCTTCGACAACTATGACCTGCGCATTGTCACTTCAGTTTGCCAGTTTGCTTTGTCAATCCTTTGGGCTATGTCGACAACTTTAGTTCTCTGTCAGATGACCTAGTTAATAATACGACCCTTAAAAAAAAACAAATACAATTTCGTAACTATATAGGATTTTAAATTTTTACAATTCGAAATGTGAATACAAACCTTCCTTCATGGAGTAAGGGGGTAGCAAGATGTACATGCTGATGTCATTGCCCTTGTAAGGCAGTTCCAAGATCTGGGCACCGAGCTCGTCGCTAACCACTGTAAATAAACATATTGGTTAACGTTAGGTACTACTTGAGGCTTATTTGGATGGTGTCTGAAGGTGCGATTAGCGTGGTAGGAATTGATCGTTTAAGTTTAAAAAATGATTCATGTGAAGACATGCTTCGGATGTGTGTATCTTCAACTTATCCTTTTCAATAATGATTTTGATTGGTGTTTTTATATGTAAGTTCTTGTTTTATTTTATTTTAATTAGTTTAGAAACTTAATTTTTGGCAGTATATATTATTTATTTTTCTATTATTTTAAAAATATTTGGTGCATTTTGTTGTGACACCTTAAAGTGCTGTTGTACATTAACTTAATTATTGTTCATTTAATGTTTAGATATAAGAAACAATGCAACACTACTTGGTTGTCCATAATTAAATAAATACATTATTTTTTCCCTATTCTTTCCAAAGTGAACTTACTGTAATGGAATGTTCCCTTTTGCTTCATGAACGGTACCAATGTCTGGCGTGTCTCCGAAACGAAGAAGGCCTCCTTCTTTGTCCTCTCCTTGGGGAACTTGGAAGCCCAGACTCCTTTGAAGTAAGCAGCATTAGCTAGTACCAATTTTGTAGCCTGCGAGATGCTGTCCTCAGGAATCAAGTCCTTGATGTTATTCTTAGTAATCCGACTAACCCAGTCGTTAATATACGTGCGGGACGCTTCAGGATTCTCACGGAAGTTCTGTGAACAATTATATTGAACAATTAGTATTGTGGGACTCACACACTGGTCCTTACATTTCATATAAAGTTTATTTATTGAAAACAACACAGCTTACCAAAAAGGGACTCTTTATTCAAGTGGTGACTTGCAACTATTTAGACCTTTTAAAGGATAATTTCAATAAATATATTTCATGATACTTACTATTCAAAAATGTAAAGTTTATATTTCATATCGATTTTTAAAGTAGGTATGTTGTGTTTGTACAAAATATCTGCCTAATCTTTTTTCAAACCCCTATACATATATATTATATACCCGATGTCATAAATGCAGTTGTTATCCACGAAAAATTAGGAAGACTGGATAGTTACCAGTGTCTCCAGCTCCTCTCCGAACAGGTCCAGCATGCACTGGCGCACTTGCAGGCTGACGTCTGTGAACAGTTTGTTGGCGTTCGTGAACTCGTAGCTGTCACTGTTGTTGTTGGCTGCGCGCGACCGCTTGTCCACCTTGTATGCCGTCATCAAGTTGATCTTGTCCTAGAATCGATACACACGTATATTTAATATTTTAGCTATACTAGACTTAAGCCAGTAGTCATTCCTATTAATAAGTCCGAAATTTATTTAAGTTTGCATTTTGTAAAATGTTATGTAAATCAAAATATTATTTTCCTGTTTCAAATCAACCGGTTATAAGTTAGTCGAGTATCTCCTTTTTCCAAACGTGATGCGTCTTTTCCTTGTGCATTTATTTTCAGAAAGATTTGTAAGAATGTACCATATTCTCAGCGATCCGCAGAGATTCCTTTAATGAGTGTTCAGTTTGTCCACCAGCGGAGAAGTAGGCGAGCACCAGCGCGTGGTAGACAGAGAATGGTGAAAAGAAGATGTTGTCGTCAGGAACAGCTTTGTTAATGGCGTTGAACAAGTTCAGAGTGAACTCCAGCTGCCCTCGGTATAAGGACACGCGAGCCTCAGGGTCGAGCTTCTTCGAAGAGTCATCTTTGTAGAAACACTGGCTGTTGACGGTCGCTATGACCAGCAGGCCCACAGCCGCTACCTTCAACATGATGCCTCTGAAACAAACAACGCCTTAAATGAGCAACTTCAAACAGCTAATTGAATAGGAAAAACAATAACAGACACATACGAGTTTACTATCCAAACATGTATTGATTATTACAGTTTGTGCACCAACAATATATAAACGTTTCATGTGTAGGTATTTGTGTCATTATGTGAATCCAGCTATCAGTAATGATTCATGGTTAGCTCGGTAAGCTGCATTTTAAATTACAGCCACGGGCCTTATCTAGAAAATGAGTATGACACACGTGGACAAGAATAAACATCGAAATAAATAGTGAATAATTAACATTCTTGCGTAAAAATGTCTATTATTTCAGCATGCCATACTTTGGATTTAGTCAGCAATGAGTGTAGGTACTCAAATAATATACATAAAGATAACATATTAACATATGTAGATAGATAACATAAATATTGTTTTGAACCTCGATTTTACCTACACCACCAATAATTAAGGTTCTCGTCCGTAATGACAACCAATTGAAAATGTTCTCTAAATACCGCTCTATGTTTTTAAGTTTCTATTATCACATCTTATTATTTGTTGACCCCCACCTGTCTAAGACCAATACATTGTTCAAATATGTTATTAAAATAGGTAATTCCGCCCGCCACTCCGCTTCTATTGGTCGCAGCGTGATATTTCATAGCGTAGTATTCATCACAAAAATAATTTTTCAGTTCGATTAACGCGCGAACAATCTCTTCAGCTTCATAACATTAATATAGATTAGATATAGGTATCGTAGATATTGACGTCAAGAGGGAGGTACCTCAATAATATAACAAGGTACAGCGATTTGTTCACCACTAGTAAAATGTTGTTTTAGTTTAAGCAACATACACAACTATAGGTGTGTATGTATATGTAATGTCGGACACGACGTAACAAATCTATTGTACAACGACTGACAAAAAGTGCAAAGTTATTCCAGACAGAAATTATTTTATCTGTGGTCATTTCACCGCGCTTTCTCCTCGGCCAAGAGGTGGGGCAGACGGCGGTCAGCCACCCACGATACGTATTACGTACCTACTCTGATCATATGATAATACGAGTGTCTTCTCGAACGTTTCTTATAAACATTTAAATTGCTATAATTAAGATTTGTTCTATTAAAACTACTATCCAAACCAAACATTTAATTATACATATATGCATAACTAAAAAAAAGACGTTAAAAGACCTAGATTTTTTTGTAAACTAATTAAATTTATTTTTAGCAACTCATAATCATATTCTCAACTTTTATTTTAGAGCTACATAAAAAAAGTGTTAGTGACAGCGTGAGACTGATATACATAATCAACGTAATTAAAAGTGGCTTGAGAAAGCTGGTTAATTATCGTTTGTCAGAAGTCTGTACCTAATTTCATGATCTAGGCGCAGAAATAGGGGTCATATCTGTTAGTGCTCAATCATGTCCAGCCATGGCGTGTGATTGATGAATGGCCTCGCATCTCTCGATAGACCTACTCACACTTATTTTCTATTCTAAATGGTTAATAATTTAGGGCTGATTTTTCAATGGTTAGATAAAATTTACCTTGGGAATAAAATTACGATGATGTAGCGTCAGAATCTATACTCTATACTAATATTATAAAGCAGTAAAATTTGTAAGTCTGTAAATATGTATGTAGGGGGTAATCTTTGAAATCACTTTTCGGATTTAAAAAAATCTTTCAGTAATAGATAGCTACAATATTCCTGAGTGATATAAGCTATAAAACATCACGCTACGATTAATGGAGCCGAGCAGCGGGTGAAATCGCGGGAGACAGTTACAGCAATAATTTTATTCCTCAGATAACGATTATATGACTGTTGAAAAATCAGCCCTAAATCTAATATTAATTTTTACCATACCGTATATGTCAACAAAATCATTTAACTGAACTGAAGAGTAACGAAGAACATGTCAAGTGTAGGTCGAGAATTGTGATTCAAATGTGTTTGAGAAACCGTAGGTATGATATCATCGTATCGTATCGTTAGGAGCAGGTTACTCTGTGCCCACTCTATTCCGGAATATGTACGAGTACCTACCAATTGATTACACAGATGGGAAAACCCCAATCATATTGTACCGCTTGTTAAAGCTTGACCTGATAACCGACACGCAGTTGCATATTACTGCCGAGTAAATACATAAACACATATATGTATACGTATAAGTCTACGTCGTAGCATATAGTTCGTATCTATGATATAACGTTCGAACATTTTACTCGCGTACAAGCGGCCAATGACATAATTAGCTTGATGCAATGCCGATATTTAGAAAACCTGTAATATTTAATAATAGTGGATTCGGAAACTCGCTTTTCCACATGCACCGACATTTGCTTAAGAAAACGTTTAACACTTAAGTAACCTCTATTTCTTTAATGAGTCAAAAGGATGTGTTTTCAAAAAATAACACCGTCTTATGTAAACGAAAGTGGGACATGCAAATATACAGCTTCCGAGTAAGTACTGATGAGTCAGCAAATGTATATTAATTTCAGTTGACCTTACATTTATGAGTGGTGCACGCCATGTATACTTGTAGTTATGTACTCATATATGTATAGGTAAAATTACATCCACTTTTAATATTATTACAACAAGGATGTTGACAAGTTTGTAAACATTTATTACATGCCAATAGCACACTGACAAGTATACATTAAGTCCCCGAATAGAATAAAATATTCAGAATTTTAATTTCCCAATATTTTTTTAATTATTCGTAAGTAATAATATAATTCGTTTGATCGATCAGATAAAACCATGTAATAAATATTATTGGCTATAACTCAGGTGGTGTATGCAACGGAGAATTCAAGGTACCGACGTCATATTGGGGAATCCCAACCACCTTCATTTAGTGGGTAGGTCACAATATTCAGATGGCGCCACCTCCAGTGTACCGCGCAATGCTTGGATTTCCCTTTGAAATCAATGTTGCAGCGAAAGTCAGGCAACACGTCATCCTCGGCACATTTATTACACAACCGGACAACAAACCGTGTCACTACGCTACGGTATTCATATTTTTAAATTTACCACAAAACGCGGATTGAACTAATGATTGATTGAATACAATATAATGAAAGCTGTATTATTACAAACAATGAAGTTGTTATTCTTTAATGGATTTCACTATTTTGTTGTTATGTTTAAGACAGAATTTTTCTGTTCACTTGCTTAAACATACCTTGTCTTTTGTTACACACTAACTTTAATAAAATTTTATGGAGTAATTTTAAGATTAACCCACTTAAACAATCCTTAATTATTAGTCCTACATAGTGAGCAGTTACAGTAAGGTACTTTTATAAAAACTTAAAAAATGTCAAAGTTTGAATGAACCATCCAATAAAATTTTATAATATCACATTACTGAAAATTAAGCTGGTTAAGATAATCGACACCAATGCTCATCAGATGAAATTGCAATCTCTATGGTTCACTCAATCATCTCTAACTGCGCCGAAACTGGCGGCAGTCACCTAATAAATATACAACTACCAGACTATTATACACAAATACATAAGTGACATTGTGATATATACAATCTGAAAATGCAGAGAATGAAGGTAACCAAGGTAACGGTGTCACACGAACACGAGGTAACAGCTGTTCACAGCACGGTAACAATTTTACATATTTTCATTGTTCCATCGAGAAGGTCTCGGGATTCCCGCAAAATCATATTGTGGTTTCTCCCGTATTTCAATAATACAACAACACAGCATCCGCCATTGTCTCGTGAAATTCTGAATTGCAGATATTTATCAACAACTTGAACCGAGGTCCATTTATAAATTTTATTAGTCTTTTATTAGTTTAAAAGTCCCAGTAATCAATATTTTTAACGGGTTTGGTTCGATTGGTCGTATAAGTTTTTTTTTGGTCCTGCATGCGACTCACGCGTACCGCTTATTTCAAGAATTTACTCACAATAACGGTTTTATGTAACAACGGCGAAGTTTACAGTTTTTGTTCGGAATTTTGTGGCATCGATCAGCTTTCGAGTTTTACAATGAATCCTTAATAAAGTTATTGCCTGGAAGTTATTGCTTTTAAACAATATTTTTGTTCATCAAAGTTCGCCATTTCAGCTATTTGTATTAGAAATATTATGCCTGAGTGATATTCAATGGAACTTAACTAATTTGACCAATTCTGTCATTTGAATTAATCAGAAAATACCTTTAAATAAAAAATCATTAAAAAAATGTAAACAAGATAAGTACAAAGAATTTGCTGAGATACTAAAAAACAATGGCCTTATACATACTATTTGTACTTACTGTGCATAATTTACCTATTGTTTCGGATGAGATGTATGAAGTGATCAAAAGGTGCCTACTTCCGAATTAGAAGGATTTCCTTTAAGTATGTACAACATGATAAGTCGATATCTGTGCCACGCAATTGGTGGTGTGACAAGAGATAAGATTATCATTGTCATTGACGTGGAAAAGCAACCTTTTTGTTCTAGTAATAACAAAATAATGATCCTACAATAGAAACGTTGTACGAAAACATACAAAGGATTGTCCTCCAATACTACTTGCTTGTGAGTTTTTAAAACAATATCGTGAATGTGACCTCGGTTCGCTTGGTCCATTTTTCGGAAACTTTAAGGCCACTCCACCGCACACGTAATGTTTGCATAAGATCCTCCTATAGAACCGGCGCAGGCGCGTTACCGGAATAATAATGAACTATCGATTGTATTATAACTGTGTATAGCTATACACTTTTGATTTAACAACTGTAGAAGAAATGCCTTTATTTTGGTATATTGAGACAGATTTTAAAGAAATAATTTACTAATAAGTAGATATTAATTTACATTCATCCAAAACTGATGGCAAGTAAACGAAATCTTTTGAAGAAATCGAGTTTCCATATTTGCTGTTGTTCGGTAATGATCATTAGCTGCCTACATTGTGTAGATGTCCCCAACTTTCGAAGTTTCTATTCAGTTTCACAGCTCTTTGATGTCATTGTAGACCTATTTCACCTTTTGAGCCCATTGTTGCGTGCTTTATATTTTCTCTTTAAGCGTTTGTACTTTATGTATTTCATTTACCATAAAAGTAAAAGCTAGACTTATTGTGTTGAACAAAGTTTATATTCTATTATCTTTTTTAAGTCATGAGACATGTCAAATTGAATTTAAGTGTGGGAGAACCATGCTTCGGCACGAATCGGTCGGCTCGACCGGAGTGATACCACAGCCTCACACAAAACCGGCGTGAAACAACCACAGCGTTGTGTGAGTGAGGTTACCGGAGGCCCGATCCCTCCTCAATCCCTAAATCTCCAAATCCCTAAAAGGTCGGCAACGCACTCGTAACTCCTCCGTTGCGGGTGTCCACGGGTGGCGCTGATTGCTTACAATCAGGTAGGTAATCCGTTAGCTAGTTTACCGACCAATTACATAAAAAATTTAAACAAAGATTAAATTTTAGGTAATTCCATAGAAAAAAGCACGGCAAGCTAAGACACGAGTAGAGAGAGAAGTTTGTATTATCTTTAATTCAGTTGTACTATAACAGACACTAAGTAATTAGAAAAGTTAAAGTTGATCAGTTACTTTAAGCAAGAACTATATAAATGTTGTACAGTATATTAATAATATCTAAGGAAAATATTTCCTACTCGATGCCCGATGCTATTGACGATTTCTTATTACATGGGGGTAATGAGTTCTATGCCTACCCAATCAGAAGGAGGTTAGAGCCCATACATTTCATCTTTGTGTTCAGCATTTCATGTTCAGGTCGTGTTTACGTTATTTTATACTATTTATTATATACATATATGTATATATTTTAATTATGACAGATCGACAGATATGTGCAAAATTATCACAAAAACATAAGTTTTAATGCACACAGTACATAAATATCTTAATCATGTATTATAAAACCAGTTCGATCTGCTAAAGTAACTAGATACTCGCACATATGGCCCTATCACCATATCATCATAGTTTCATGCACATGAAATACTAAATCTGTCTCCAAGGTCTTGAAAACGCAGCCGAGTGCAGAGCAAGAGAAATAAGGTACTGATTCCTGATGCCTCCTCTAACCCGTGTTTTTATAAACAGACTCATGAATGTAACTATATGTAAAAAGTACACATAGGTAGTACATACACATACACACCTGAACCTATACCAGAATATTCTTGGAAAAAAACGTGACTATGTGAGTGCATAAAAATCTCTGTTCTACTCATATACTACATCTATATCTGCACATATACTCATATATTTATAGTGCAAGTACACAGTAGTAGGTATAAATAAATAAATAAATAAATAAAACAGAGCTATTGAGTCTATGAACTCTTCGAAATGGATGAGTCTTCTGATATCACAAAGCAATCATAAAGATATCTTCAAGGGCTAGATACAGCTGTCAGAAGTCCATAATATAATAACAATTGATAGGAATTGGGTATGATACGAACTGCAAATGTAAAGAAGAACTTCGTGCTACCCAATGGGCATTTGTCAATCCCATCTTACTAATCTTACTAATAAATATTATAAATGCGAAAGTTACGATGTTTGTTTGGATGTTCGGATATTTGTTACTCGATCACTCCAAAAGCGCTGGACGGATCACAGGCATAGGATACACTCCGGAATAGGCTAGAACAGAAGTCTGGCTTTTTATCAACATACCACGCGGGCGAATCCACAAGCGGAAACTAGTAAATAATTACTAAGAATTGTCACCTTCTATGTGGATTGTTTACATTTTCAATATCACAGTAACATGTAAAATCAATACCTCCTAGTTAAAACCGGTATTAACACAAAACAACTGTGTATGTAATTATTTATTATATACTGCACATCAAATTAATTTTGTGTGGGTAATGACGGTGTCCACTTAATTTAATGAGTAGCTAGATAATAATGCCTAATATCTGTAATATGTATCTTACAGATTATGAAAAACCAAAAAAAAAAAATTTTAAACTGCCAATTTCAGTCATTAATAAAAATCGGATTTCTTAAGTACTTATTAATTAAAAAGCGAAGGTAGTTAGCTACTTAAATATTACTCTAATTAACCTCTATACGTTACGTAGATACAGGTAATAAGTGACAAGCTGAAACAGGTATATGCCTAGTAATGTGCAACGAATTAAAGCGACATGGATGTTTATGTGCGCGTACTCTTGCGAAAATTCGTCACAGTAAATTAGAAAGCGTGCATGATAATCTGGCAAGCGGTGACGGACCAGTGTATTGTATTGATACCACACCAGCGCACACACTGGCCAGTGAGAACTGAGAACATCCCTACTTCATTACAACACAACAATTAGCAAGCACTTCGTATGGGAAAACAAACCGAACCACTTTTATCTACATGCAGATAAGTCTTTAACTATTGTAAAATTCACATAAATACTATAATATTTTTTTTTTACGATTGGCCCACTCCAACACCGACCGCAGGTATAATCCGAATGAAACAAAACAAATAACTCACCGTACGCTGTCCTTAACGTGCACGGAGTTTTTATTAGTATTATTTTGAATCGATCTTAATATTTTTTTAACCAAGGCGTCTCACAGTAATATAATGGTGAAGTTTTTATTAATATAAATTTTATGCACGGTACATTGGTATATAAAATACTATGCGGAGCGTAACGTTGCACTGTAGCGAGACTCGGAGACAGACTGAGTGAATGAGGGCCGGTCGCTATCCTCTTTTATGTTAGTATTGTAAACTGGTATGCGTTAGCTCACCAGCCGATGTCAACGAGAGTTAAAATTAAAAGAATACTTTTTTATTTAATCGCCCACACAATACACTTCGATCAGAAGTATGCTAAATTAGATAAAAGTTTGATGAATTATCGTTCTGCGTGCCCATTAACTTAATTGGTCAAGTAACTGTATGATTTAGGGCCTATACAGCAGAGCCGGCTTTTTGGGCAACAGGAGCTTCAACCAAATGATGGAAGAAGTTTGAGACACAATACTAAGGAGTCAAGAGAACTTACTAATGAACGCTGTATGTACACAGGTAATCAAGAAAGATATAATAATTTTCATCAACTCAATCAATCATTAATCTTTAAATTACCGTTTATTAGTATATCTATATATCATAGTATAAGTAGGTACACAGACCAAAAGCCAGTATATACCTGCGTACAGTTTGTTTACATGTAAAATACTGACAATAGCCCAACAGCGTTCCAATTTGAGGATGATTAGATAAGATAAATGTTTTACTTATTGGTTATATGTGTAAGTACCAATTTATTAATGCGATGTTTTCTGCACTACAAATACCTAATATCCAAAAAGTAACGATGTACTATCCACTAGTATTATTAGTTTCGGAACGTTTAGAAATAGCAGATGTTTTTAAATTCTTAAATACGGTCGAGACGGTCGTGGTTCAAGTCACGGTCAACCTCTTTTTTCCATATAAATATATCCAATATTATACGTATTAGTTCGAGACTGTGCTATTAACCCAGTCGAGTTTAGTGCGATACCTACTTTTGAATGGTCATCCCCGCCTCCTTGTCATGAACAGATCGGACAACAATAGAATGATGAACGAAATATTGAATCGAGGGGACTTTCTACTCCGGTACCTATTACTTTATCTTTACTACACAATCTTCGCTCTCCTTTTCTAAAATATTTTGCAAGACAATACCATATTGTATATACGGGTCACTAGGTATAGGAGTCTTGAAAAGTTTTTATTATCTATTTATTTAATTACATTTTTGTCACAATTGCCTAGTCTGGTTATACCTACTGTGTTTAATTTTATAGCTGAAATACCCTCAGCAACTAGTGATGAGTCACACTGTGTAGGTTCTGATCGATTATACCATACAAAGATACGGGTCACGTGTCATATCATAACAACCACATATGGGTATTTTTCCTTTTCACATTTGGAATCCTAACCACCTATTTACCTATAGTTCAACAATCACACACAATACTTGTCAGTCTGGTACCTATTATATTAACAATATTTTTTATGATACGATAGGCAAACGATCAGACTGATCACCACATGCTAAGCTATCGACGATGCCGACGGACACCCGAGTAGTAGCACCTGCTGAGTGTGTATTAGCCGACCTATTAGTGACTAGGGATTTTATTTATTTTTTGCAGATATCAGAAACGGACTCCTTGGATCGGAATGGGCCTCCAGTAACCTCAGTTACATGGTAAAACACAACGCAAATTTTGTTTCACGCTGGCTGTCTGTTAGGCACTGGCATCATTCCAGTAAAAGAAATGGCGGAATTACTTAAACATTATGGAAAGTGTAAAACGAAATCATGGAATTTCGTTTTACCATGAATGGAACTGGATAGATGACCAAAAAAAAAAGTCAGGTATTGTGTTGCGCTTCGAAAGGCAAGTGTGATATCAGAAAACGAGATGTCATAGGCCTGGTTTTAACACCTAATTAGACAAAACATTATTATGTAGGTACCATTTTCTGTTTCTGTAACTATCATAAGAAGGGCAATGTGATTGGCTGCAGGACCTGTGGAGCTGACAGGCCGTTCAGGTATTGGTCCACATCCAACCAACGAATAGATGAACGACTTCAATATCTTTGCCGTTTCCAGTATTTAAGATTGTTAATAAGATTGCGAAAGTTATAGGCAATCAGGTTAAGCTTCATTTCGACCCTGATTTTATTGTATTATAGCTAATTAGAAGTCCTATAAATACATATGTACCTCCCTGCCCTAAATAAAATGACTTGGTGCAAAATCAGCTGAGCAAACGTTACGCAAAGTTCCTGCCTTGTTATGACAAGTGTCAGTTTCACAAATTACCTAATTAATCATAATAATCAGGTCATGGAAACTAGGTACCTACTCAGCTTATTACAGTGGTTTCAATCACTCGAATTTTGTATTTCATTGCCATAAACTAACAGTAAATCATGTTTGGTTAGTTTACCTAATTGTACCTAAATACATCACATACCTACTCGTATATCATAAACTAGAAAAAAGCCTCAATGATATAATTAACACTTTTACCAAAAATAATATACCTTTTTATAAATTTTTACGCCTATTAGGTCGGCATTTGGCCTCTATTTCGTCTGGTGGTAAGTGATAATGAGACACACAAGGTCTAACCCCTAACCAACCTATTCACTCGGGCCTTGAAGACACACTTTGGGAAACACTGAATTCCACTCCTGAGCGATTCTGATGAGAAAACTGGTGACGAATCGCTTCGTGTGTGTATGTCGGATAGGAGGAATCAAATTGTGCAGTTCCCCAGCCCACGTTCCGAAATAAAGCCGATGTAAAAGGCTTTAAAGTTGGGCCTTCACAAGCACAACGTCGTTGATGAGCCTCTCGGGATCTCAGTGCGTTCTTGTGTGTCTAGCTGGGTTGTGTCGAGCCGGCCCAAAGACGTGAATAGTCCTCCCAACAGGACAGAACTTGCGCTTAGTATAGCATATATGTTTATATGTTTGGCGGGGAACACTTTGAACTTGACCAAGTTGGCGAGACCCCTGTCGGAACCGCAAAGACGAGTTCAAGCGTTATATAGGTTATAATATTATTATAACTGACTAGAAAATAAAAATATTAAAAGAAAAAATTTTCAAAATCTGTTTTCGACGATACACACACCGGTTTTCGACAATCGCTGCGTCGATTTTAGTCATCTATTAATTACCAAGTTAAAGTTTTAAGTAAATACCTCAAATATTTAAAACCAATAGTTTAATAGATTTAGTCTTTACACTTTATTCCACCTGTCCCTATGTTTGTCCATGGATGTGTCTGTAGTCAAATCAAATTAGGTAATTTGACCCACTTCCTGCTAACCGATTGAGCCAATATTAATTAGCATGCTATATTATAATCACATGGTATTATTTTGGTGAAACTTGAAGGGAGTAGGACATAATAATGTATTGTTACGTGCCTGACTATGCGGGCTTGGGTTACGGGATTGGATGAAATGAAACACTAATACCGGTTTTCAGACTTTCTATTGCACTTAAGTTACAGCGTCCACGGAGTTAAGTTATCGGCGTTCCTCTCCAGCAGAGTCCGGCCGACTGACACAACTTTGCCGTTCACGCTGACTTAATTCACTTAACTGACTGCACTGCACTATTTCACTGCACTTCACTATTTCACTCACTTTTCTTCTTTCTCACTTCTTCCTTTTCTTCCGAATCGCTTTAGACTTAGAACTCAACTGCCAGCGGTGAGCCGCAGTTCCGCTTATATACCCCCGGTCAGGTTCTGGAACATTCAATTTCGTTATTCTTTTTGATCGTCATGCCTCCAGAACCTTCCAATAATTTCGTTATTCATTTTTATTTATTCTCCTACTCGCTCTTTAATTTTTTATTTCTTTCACACAAATAATTCCAGAAAGTTCGACAAAACTTCTATAAACTAAAAAACTTCATGTTTACGGCCGGACTCGAACTCGGGGTCTCTGTGGTGTAATCCACACGCCTTACCGATTACACCAACTCGTGTTGACAATTCACGACGAAATTTACAATCTCTAGGCAACGTTTGACAACCATCCATTGACGTCATGATGTCAAAGAGTTTGAACCACTTTTCCGTCACACTGCCCCCCTCTTAGATTCGCTCGTCCCGAGCATCGTTGCTGCCGTAATACCTCGCCAACCTGTCTATATGGACAACTTTCAAAGGGCTCCTTGAAGTCTTCCGAATTCTGTAAGTAATGTCATTGATCTTCGTGACTATCTCATAAGGACCTTCCCAACTCGGTTGAAGCTTCGGAGATTTTCCCTTCCTTCTGACTGGATTATGAAGCCAGACCAATGACCCCTCTTCAAACCCAACAGAATTGGCTCGTCGATCATAGCGCGTCTTTGCGCGATCACTAACTTGAAGACCGGCCTCCCTGATCTGCTCATAAATGTCCAACATTTTTGCCCTTAACTCGTTTATGTAATCGCTAAACTCGGTGCGAGTGTCGCCAGGTGGACAGCCCGATACAAGATCTGCCGGTAATCTCAATTCCCTTCCAAAATTTGCAAATGCAGGCGTCTTTGCGGTACTTTCATGTACAGCAGTCCGATAGGCAAGCAAGAAGAGAGGTATGTAAGTGTCCCAATCTCTCTGATGGCTGTCAACCACCTTTGCTAAGTGTCGCTCCAATGTTTGGTTGAAGCGTTCGACCATTCCATCTGACTGTGGATGATAAGGGGTCGTTCGAGTCTTATGGATTCCCAAAAGTTTACAAGTTTCCTGAAAAACTTGGGATTCAAAATTCCGTCCTTGATCACTGTGCATCTCCAAGGGCACTCCGAATCGGGTGAATACCTCGTTTACCAACTTCGTGGCTACAGTTACTGCCTCTTGATTCGGTATGGCAAAGACCTCCGGCCATTTTGTAAAATAATCCATAACCACTAAAACGTAGCGATTGCCCGAATCAGTGATTGGAAATGGTCCAGCGATGTCTAAGGCTATTCTCTCCCAAGGCATACCAACATTGTAGATTTTCATCGCCCCTCTGCTTCTTGTTTGTGGACCCTTGACAGCTGCACAACTAGTGCATTTCCGGCACCAATCTTCGACGTCATATTTGCAATGCAACCAATAAAACCTCTCCTTGATCTTCACCAAAGTCCTCCTAATTCCCAAATGTCCTCCAGAAGATCCATC